CGTTAGCAATATCAATTTCTTGTTGCATTCCCGCTTCTTGATCTTTATGTTCTGATGCTGTCCTAGCCAAGGCTTTCCCTTGTTCTATTTTTTGAAATAAATCCCCCACCCTTTGTTCTGCTAACTTTTTGTTAGTCCCTGCTGACCTTACAACATTTTGGATATGTTGGGGTAAAAACTCATCTTTCTTTGCTTGCATTACATCCAATCTTAGACTATTCAAGTTAGTTGGTACTCTTTGTTTCATTGTTGTTGCCGTTTGAGCTATCGGAGCAAGACCGGGAGCAACAGCTGAAACCGCAACCGCAACTGCTACTTGGGCAATAGATTTAGCTATTGCTCCAATATCACTCTTGCTATCTAAGGCTTCGGCTAAACTGCCAGCCATTGTTATCTTAGGTTGATCATCTCACTTAATGTGCATAATCCAATTTACTTTATGAGTAAATCAAACTGAAAAAGTACCTCCTCAATCTTCTTCTCCTACTTTGCAAAGTTGTCCAATTTTGGCTATTTCATCTCCCAAAGATCTTATAGTCAAATAGCAATGCTTATATAGATAATGACTAGAGTGCCCAGTATCTTTTCTAAAAATAAACTTTTCATTAAAAATTGATTCAGTACCCAAATTAACCGGAAGCGGAGTTATGGTGTGTAATCTATGTCCATCGGTCATATCATAACCAGCAAAGAAACCTTTGGCAGAAAGAGAAGGATAAATAAAATTACCAACTTCAGTAATGGCAGTTTGACTAACTATCTTGTCAAGGGAAGAATTTCAATCATTTTCAACCACTATAAATTCACCTCTAATACAACCACTAACATACTTACTTTGAATGTCCACACCCGGTCGGGCATCACTACCCGCGGTTTCGTAATGATGACTTCCACCGAAAAGTCTACCAAATCAACAAAAAACTGCTTTCGCTCCTCTTTCCAACCCTCTTAACCTTTTTTCACCCTCGGAAGTCATGAATATTCTCCCACTTCTATAATTCGCTATATAAGTATAACGAGGTAAGTTTTTTTTTTTGTTCTCGTCGTTTGTCGGATTTATGTTCATTTTTTTTTATAAATTTTAAGGAGTCTACCCCCTACTT